TATTACATAAGAGTTAAGTGACAAAACTGAGAAGAGACAGCTTTCTGACTCACAATCCAGGGCTCTTTGGATCTCTTTCATTTTCTGTAAGCCACAACCACATTCTAGTAACCAGGTCAAAAATTTAGCCTCAAGGCTGAAAAGACCCAAGGCCTGGATAGTTACAAAGAGTCTCCAAAGAAAGGGAATTGGGAGTACCTACAAGCTCCCAGCCCACTTCAGAAAGGCTTTCTTGTAAAAATGTTCAGGTTCCCAAAGGTTCCAGTTAGGGGAACTCTCCCCACTACGTGCTAATGGGTCTTTCCTCCAAACCAACAAGAGAAGGGTGGGTAAAAAAAAAAACAAGATTCTGGGCGGCACCTGTGGCTCAGTGGGCAGAGCACCGGCCCGTATACCAAAGTGGCAGGTTCAAACCCGGCCCAGCCAAACTGCCAACAAAAAATAGCCAGGTGTTGTGGCGGGCGCCTGTAGTCCCAGCTACTCGGGAGGCTGAGGCAAGAAAATCGCCTAAGCCCAGGAGTTAGAGGTTGCTGTGACGCCACGGCACACTACTGAGGGTGACAAAGGGAGACTCTGTCTCTTTAAAAAAAAAAAAAAAAACCTAACCAAGATTCTCAATTGCACATTTCATCAAGGTTAAATGTCAGGTTTTCACTTATGACCTGGGCAGTCTCTTTCATGAGAACTCTCGGCTTTTGGCAGAGTCTTGTAACAAACTGAAGTTCATGGATGGGAGGATAAAGCAATGACCTTCATAAAAATATCTGTGGGAAAAAGCTCTCTAAATAGCTGACTAAATATTCCCATTGCAGACATAAAACTCAATTGCATGTCCTTTTTTGAGCAGGAAGTTACATTGCATAAGAAGAATTTGAGTAAGAAAACCTATCCCAAAGCGGGGGAAGATGTCATAAACCCTCGCTATGAAACACAGAATTTTTATTGTAACAGAAATAGGAGAAGATCACATACACAAAGAGCAACTTTAGCTTTTTCCCTTCTTCCCAAATGGGATTGTTTTGAAACTTCTAGAACACTTCAGTTGATTTTGTTTGTTTAATGAAATTAAAATATTTAGAAAGCCAATATGATAGAAAAAATGTTAGCTGAAAATAGATTACAAAATAGCACAGACGTGATGCTGAAACTGTGTGAAAATCCAGATAAAATACCACATGAAAACAAAGCTGGTTTACCCCAGGTGGCAGGATGAGAAGCTGTTGTACATTTTTGACTGCTGCCCAACCATCCTTCCCTCTGAGCAGCCTCTGGTGCACACTGTGGCCCACCCAGGGAGAGGCGCACAGCATGCTGGGCTCCCGCTCACACAGCCCTCTGCAGCCTGAGTCACGGCTGGAGTCCAGACTTTGTATCCCTGTATTTGACCCCGGCAGTGTTGCACAGAGGCCCTGGCACCACACCCATCCCTAGATCATCTGCACACTTTCCTGCTTTCCCTCGTGCCAGCGCCATCTCTTACAAAGGGCTCCTGAACATAATAGTGAAATATGAACGTGTAGCAGACATACATCAGGCACCAGCAATCCTAGGAGGTGGATACTCATAACCAGGGTGTCTAAACTTTTTTCTTTTCTGGAAAGAACTGGAAGAACAAGAGTTGTCTTGGGCCATACAGTAAATACACAAACACTAACAAAAGCTGCTTAGCAAAAAAGAAAAGGTCAAATCATTAGCATAAAAAAAGTTCGTGCATATTTTTCGTGATATCCAACACCACAGATAAGCAAAATCAGCTTGCCTGCAAATCCCGCCCCCCCATTTTGCAGATGGTGCAACTGAGGCATGGGAGGGATGACTGAACTTGCCCAAGGTCACCCAGCTGGCAAGTAGCAGAGCCAGCATTCAAACTCACACGACACAGCATCAGAGCCTGAGTTTTAAGACATCATGCAAGTGAATGCTGCTTACACAGGATTACGACTGGGGGAACCAAAGGGATGCTGGTCTTATTTTCCATGGTTAATCTTAAAGATCCGATAGTTACCAATAATTTCCAAAGAAAGGGAAAATTCAAAAACTTTACATTTATACATATTAACCCACAAAAACTACCATGAGTCAGACATTAGGTATGGGAGGCAGGGTGGTATCACAAGTAACACTGATTACTCTGCAGGTCAAAGTCCGTGCAAAATGCAGTCCCATGCAATGAGGAAAACGAGAAAAATGAGGCTTTTAGAGTCTCAGCTTCCTAGCCAGTAAGGGATGGAGTCAGAATTTGAGCCTAAGCTGTCTGGTTCCAGACTCTGCTACTATTGCCCTGGAACATGGGGAAAGATTACCAAACCATAAAAATACATGGTGACTCATGAGGACTTTCTTTTCTATGACAATGAGGAAGCCAATTTCTCAAGACCTTAGTTTCTTAACCTGAAGGCTGTTTTTTTCCCTCCCATGCAAAATCATGGCTTTCAAAGATACCAGTTTTTCTGCTGTCTCACCATTCTATTAATCAGAAGCTATGATCTACCTTCCCCTCATCCGCAGGAGATGATCAATACTACTACACTAGTTGGTTCAACTCCAGTCAAAGCAAAGGCCTTCGACATCTACTTAGCCAATACAGACTCAATTTTCTTAGGACTCTGAAATACTGAAACAATTCCAATGTTTTATTCATGAACGATGGACTGGGAACCACTAACCTGGAAGATCCTAAATGGTTCCCTCCAGTCATGAGAGTCCTATGAGCACTGAATTGCTGGCCAGAACCAGAAGACATTTGAATGTGGCCAGTGTGGCCACCGGTAGCCATGAAGACTCTCATTCTTATACAACTGAG